GAGGATGGATCCGGTGATTGGTCTGGTACGCTGTCCTCGAGCGCACCTTCAAAAGCCGGGTTTAGGGCCGGGCTGAGACTTATGCTGGCCTTGGCTCTGGCCCGACCTATTGGAGCTATTTGTTGTTATTATTACGCCGCCTCCTGTTATCCCCATTTCGCCTGCGGTAGGGCTCCTGCCTAGGACGAGGTTGGTAGTGACACTGAGGAGGCGGCTGTGGCTTGAAGGCCTTTCTTTGGGTTGCTGGAGTGTGCATACCCAGCGACTTGAGTGTGGCCCTCGAGTCCTTGAGGCTATGCAGCTATGCATCCGTCTGGTCTGAAAAGAGCCCAGACCCTTCGAAAAGAGCCCATCCCAACGGGTACCGCTAAGGGAAAAGTTTCCGACGCTCGTGCACGTGGCACGAGCACACCTAATGTGGAATGTGCGTGAACAAGCACTCAAAGAAGAACCTAAAATATAACAAAGGTGTCCATATTTCTAATGAGCAGAGTGGCTGGAAGTGAAAATATGTGACCAGACTTAACAGGATACCTTTCCTAAGTCTAATTTAGCCAGCTGAACACATGTTCACATGAGATGAGTGATGGACATCAGCAGAAGTAAAAAGCATGAAGGAAAGGAGAAAATAGGCAGTTTCAGCACAAAAACACTTGCACATCTTTATCACCTGCCAGCATGAATGAGAATCTGCCACCATGAGTACTGCCATCATAAAACCGCATCAGAACATCTGAATTATAATTCAGGGCTGAAATAGCTATCGCAAAGTCAAAACCCACATACTTTTCTCTCTTAAAAATGTGTTTAAATTGTATGTCTGCACGTGTGTGCACACACACCTCCCCTCCCCCATTTTTCTTCACATTAGTTACACAAAATGCTTTTCACCAGTTTGGTGAATGATTATATTTAACCAAGTCATAGTAATCCATTTCACTCAATATACATAATCATAAATAGGACATAATGACACACGACTGGGATTTAGTTCATTTTATATATGTAATTTTTTCCATATGATAACATGAACATATAACCTATATTTTCCTTAAAACAGATATGTTTCTATAGAAAGGTGTTTCACATCACATGATCAACACATAATGGAGTTGTTTTCTTGAAAAAGCTAGGATACAATATATACAACGTAGTTTAGTTCTGCATATGAGGCAAACTGATAAATTATGCAAAAAGAACAGGAGTACTTGTGGCACCTTAGAGACTAACAAATTTATTAGAGCATAAGCTTTCGTGGACTACAGCCCACTTCTTCGGATGCATACAGAGTGGAATAAATATTGAGGAGATATATATACACACATACAGAGAGCATAAACAGGTGGGAGTTGTCTTACCAACTCTGAGAGGCCAATTAAGTAAGAGGAAAAAAAAAAACACTTTTGAAGTGATAAGATAGCCCAGTACAGACAGTTTGATAAGAAGTGTGAGAATACTTACAAGGGGAGATAGATTCAATGTTTGTAATGGCTCAGCCATTCCCAGTTGATTGTGTCTAGTTTGCATATCAATTCCAGCTCAGCAGTCTCTCGTTGGAGTCTGTTTTTGAAGTTTTTCTGTTGTAATATAGCCACCCGCAGGTCCAAGGAGAGACTGCTGAGCTGGAATT